TGAGACAACCAAAAATATCTTCAGATCTTGCCAAATGTCCCCTGGAGAGAAAACTGACTCCAGGCTGAGAAGTACCACATTAGACGTATTCTAACACAAAAATTACCTGTAACCCTCATCTAGAAATGTCAACTTTTTCTTTACATAAGTCAAAATTACAGAGCACGGTTATATTGAACTTACTGTTCTACAGCCAGTTTTTTCTTCACTCGGTAATGCCACAGTAACATTTTCATTATGTGATATCCCTGTACAGGATGAGTTTTAATGGATGCTGGTGCTAACATCGTCTGAAATTGAGGTAGAAGGCGGGACTCTAACACCAGGCCAGATTGAGGATTAGCTAATCATCATAATTTACATAAGGAATCCGTAGCATTAGAGATTTGATTGTTTAAAATAAGGCTGGTTTCCTTATTTGCTTATTTCCTTAGAATAATAATCCCAAATCTGATGATTTCCTTAGAATACATTCTTATGAGTAGACTGAGCTCAAACTAAATTTGGTGCTGTCCAGTGGTATGGCGATGTAATTCAGAACATCCTACAGTCTTGCCTTCACCCGGTAAGAGTCCTTTACTCGCGATTCATTCTCTTGCAGTCAGCCTGACCGCCCCGCGCCTCTGCCAGGCGGGACGACAAAGACCGCCTCGGGAGTGGTGGTGAGCAGTATCGGCCTCCTCCAGCAGGGGGCGCTGTGAGATCCGCGGCGGTCCGGGACAAACCAGCAAGCCGCTCTCGGTCCGCGGACGCTCTGCCCGCCCACCCGGTTTTTCCCCGGGAGGCCCCGGGGTTTGGGGAAGTGTTTCTAGGAGACGGCGCTCGTCGGTTGCGCCTGCGCGGTTGACGCTACCGGGGCCGCCTGACGGACCCGCGGCGCTGGCAGGCCAAGGGAGTTCCCGCTTGCTCTCGGTGGTTGTCACCGCGCGGTTTCTCTAGCCCCATGGTACGCCGGTGAGACCGGCTGCAGGCTGACGTCTCCTCGCGATGGAGCATATCCGGACGACCAAGGTAGTTGGGCGCAGGACAGTCAGTCTCCGGGGGCCCTGGTCCGACCCGGCTGAGGCAGGAGGCGACGAAGGCTCGGCAGTCCTGACTGGGGCTGGCGGCCTGCCTGGCGGGGACCTGGCCCGTGGCGGGAGGGTCTGGCCAGGCCTGGTCTTGGAGGGCAGGGTCAGCTTGGGCCAAGCTGGGTGCAGGGGCCTCCTACGGGAGCAGGGGTCCCTGTTTCAGCATCTCGGAGTGCGTAGGGGTAAGTCCGGAAAACCGGTCGCCGCCCTTCTAGCTCTATGTTTCCTCGGACAAAATTGGGGTCCTTTAACTTTGGGGTCTTTCAGCCTTCCGTCGCCTCATCTACCGGAAAACCGGTCTTCGTGTTAACATTATGATGCTGTGTAAGCTTGTCCTTGCTCACGGTTTGTTCTCCGTGTCACAGACTCAACATTACGAGTTTTGGAGGAGCTGAGCTCAGCACTCCGCTCCCCTCCCTCTGCTGTCTGGGTCTCCAGTCTTTCAGATCCGGTGTTTCCGTGTCTGTGCTTCGAACTTCGGGCAGTGTCCTAAGTGTCAGTAGTCAGTTGCACAGGAGTTCTGCAAAAGGGAATAATGTTACTCCGTATTTTTAAAAGGTCGAATGCAGCTTTATTCGATTGACCTTATTACACTCCATGCTTAATTTTTGTATGTGGAAGACCTTTGTTTTGAGAATGAACAAATATTTTTATCTCGTTACAAATTAAAAAGCGTAAGGAAATGACGTTAGAATATCACCAAATTACGTGTCCAACAACATTTAAGTTAAACTTTAACTTTGGGAGGGAGAAAAGCATAAATTGAGACGAGAAGAATTGAATAACATTTTGAGGTCACTGCGAGCCCAGTGCAAGGCAGCCTCTGCACGTTTTGCCAAAGCGAAAGTCCTGTTAGTTGCTGCCCATCTTAAAGTTACGGCTCATTTAGGGAACCACCGGACGTTCGTTGTCTTCATTGTCCCAAGAAGAATTTGTGTTTTTTAAATGTTTCACAAACCTTTTAAAGGTGCACATGAATTTTTATTACAGCTTGTCTTTAACGTTGTGCATACCATGTCTAATAAAATTGAAGATGCTGAAAACTAACTCCTTAAAAAAATTTTTTAAGAGAAGATAAAATAACTTGAGAATTCAAGTTGTTGGTACTTAAATTGTGAAAATAGAAGGGTGCTTAAGTCTATAACCAGTAGAAGATGGAAAAGAGGCTAGAGTGGACATTGGATTAGATTCTTGTATTGGTTCCAGATGTGTATTATATAGTAATTATGTGCATGTGACTTCCTTCTGCATCAGTTTGAACCTTCTCTGTGTATTTTTCATATACTTTCTATGGTGCTTAGCACACAATCGAAAACCAGTTAAAGGCTGGGCACGGTGGCTCATGCCTGTATTCCCAGCACTTTGGGAGGCCAAGGTAGGTGGATCACTTGAGGTCGGGAGTTGGAGATCACCCTGGCCAACCTGATGAAACCCCTGTCTTTACTAAAAATACAAAAATTAGCCAGGCGCGGTGGCAGGTACCTGTAATCCCAGCTACTCAGGAGGTTGAGACAGGAGAATTGCTTGAACCTGGGAGGTGGAGGTTGCAGTGAGCTGAGATTGTGCCACTGCACTCCAGCTTGGGAGGTAGAGCTAGACTCAGTCTCAAAAAAAAAAAAAAAAAAAAAAAAAAAATTTAGCTGGATTCTGTGGTAGTCCCAGCTACTTGGGAGGCTGAGATGGAGGATGGCTTGAGCCCAGGAAGTGGAGGTTACAATGAGCCAAGATTGCACCATTACACTCCAGCGTGGGTGACATTGTGGAGGGGGAAGAAAAAATCAATAAAAGTAAACTGAAATCTGATCAACTAGAACAAACCCTATTCTTAGGCAGATGATAAGAGTGAACAGACTTGGAAAATATTTCGGATCCCTTGGTTATTTTAAATATTTCCTCCTTCAATTTATTATGAATATATCTTTGTTTTTATTTGTAGTTGTAGCCCCTCTTACTAGCTCTTTGAAGGTTGTCACTGGTGACTTTCATTTTGTCTGATACTCCTTTTTTTTTTTTTTTTCCGAGAAAGAGTCTCGCTCTGTTGCCGAGGCTGGAGTGCAGTGGCCCGATCTTGACTCACTGCGACCTCCGTCTCCCAAGTTCAAGTGATTCTCCTGCCTCAGCCTCCAGAGTAGGAGGGATTACAGGCATGTACCACCATGCCCGGCTAATTTTTATATTTTTAGTACAGACGGGGTTGCACCATGTTTGTCAGTCTGGTCTCGACCTCCTGACCTGGTGATCCACCTGCCTCGGCTCCCAAAGTGTTGGGAGTACCAGTGTGAGCCACCACGCCTGGCCTTTATATTCCTCTTTAACTACCAATTAATGAACTTTTCTTCAAGCAATGTTGTGATTTTGGCTTAACTTGACACAGTGGTCCCTTGCTGGTGGTTGAGTAAGGTCTTTTTAGAGAGTAAGAGATTTCTTATGAATTTTCTATTAAAACTACTTTTCAAATATGCCCCTTTATTACTTTGGGTTGTTTTTCTACATTGGATCACTACTCTGGAGTAATGTTAAGTGGGTGTGTATAGACCGCAATTAAATATTTACAGGGTACCTAGTATGTGCCAGACACTGTATTGACTCTGGGTATACAACAGCAAGATAGAGGTGGACCTCAGGGTACATTCTGTTAATTGTTTGTGGACTGTAACATTTTCTTAAATTATTAGTGTATTGGGAAAATAACTTATTCTTAAAAGATTGATTTGAACATAGCCAACTTTTGTTTCCATTATGCATCGCCTTCACCTGGATTTAGGTAGTTTGCTGCAAAAATAAGTGTAAGTATTTAAGAACCAAAAATGGATTGTTTCAGATTTATTAGCTGTTTTGACTTCTATGTAGCTTAGTCATTGTGATCAAGATTGACTATAGAGTGGCCTTTATGACTATTTAGTGATTTGTTTTATGTTGTTCAGCCAGTTGTATTTGATAAGTAATAATTACCGTTTATTGTGCAAATGTATGTCAATATAGCCAATTATATAATACTATCACTTTATAATATGTACAATTGCATAAATATGTTAATTGATACAGTATCATCACTGATCTCTTAAATAACCCTGTCAGTTGAGTATTATTATCTCCGTTTATAGGTGAGGAGGAAATAGGCTTAGAGAATTTAAGTAACCTGCTCAATTAGCTCATGAGAGATAGAATTAGGATTTAAATCAAGGTTTGTTTAACTCCAAAGACTATGTATGGTTTTTCCAGAGCCTCTAATTTTAATCTTATTGTTAAATGTGCATTAATGTTAATTCAGAAATAAATGCTGATAATTCGAAGAGCTTTTTTCCCCAAACCTCTTCTTGTCATAAATAAGTAATATTTATGTGGCACTGTTTCTAAATCATATTTAGGATTATTATTGCTTGCTAACCAGAGATTTATCAGATTAAGTATTTTGGTTGAATACTAATGTACATATATATCCTTCTGTTTTGGTCACATTTGGTTTACTAACTGTATATGCTCAAAGATGTCAAGTCCCTGATTCCGGATTTCCAAAAGAGCATTTCCAAGCTATACTTATGAGTCATGTAACTGCTGCCTATCACTTTGAGCTCCATTTTGCCATAATGACATAGTCCTGCCAAGAAACAATGAGGAATATGCAGAGACAGTTCTTCTTTATGCAGTCTTTCTCCTTTCTCTGCCAGGCTCCAGTTCTTTGGCTGACATCGTGTATTGATGTTGAATGATATAGTGCTATCTGTGAATGGAACTTTACTGAATGGAATGGAAGAACTTTTTTAAAGCTATAAATGAAAGACTGATTCTTAGAGTTTGTAATTGAATGGAATGTCCCATAAAAATCTGATCCACTAAGGTCCAAATTGAGTTATTCCAAAAGTTATGCCTAACTTGTTCTTTAGCTTACTCCCTCTTTTTGTCACTAGAATGTGAGATCATCATGTATGTATACAAATATATCTTCTCTCTGAAAGAAGGAAGGAGATATAAAAATAAGAATGGATCAAGAATAAGGAGAAACTGGTAATATTTAAATTATCTTTTAAATAAGAGCCAGTAGGTTTTGAGGGGTACCTGAATGTTTTTTTCTAAGTAAAGTGCTATTTTGATTTTCACTAATACTATCCCATTTTACAGGTGAGGAAACTGAAACCCTGAGAGAATAAATAAAATAACTTGTCCTGGCTCACACAGTTACCTCTACCAAGGAAGAGGTGGAGCTGGGAATTTGAATTTAGGTCTTCCTGATAGCAAGCCTATTTTCTTAACCACATTCTCTTGCCTCACAGAATAATGATTTAATCGGGAGATTTGATTATTCAGTTGGGGCAGTGTGAGTAAGAATACAGAGGGGAGAATGGATAGGAGAAGCTTATGTGGTCAGATTTTTTTCTAGTAGCTAGCTGATTCTGAGGATCTAGTGTGGGGGAAAAGGTCTAGCCTCAGGAGTAGACTTGTGAGGGAGTTGTTTGTGTTTAGGTGAATCACTGAAATTTCTATTGTGGATGAGTTTATGCAAGGAGAATATGTTGAGACTGTAGAGAAGAGTCTAAACACTTAAAAAGGGGTAAGCAGGCTGGGCATGGTGGCTCACGCCTGTAATCCTAGCGTTTTGGGAGGTCAAGTCAGGTGGATCACTTGAGGTCAGGAGTTTGAGACAACCCTGGCCAACATGGTGAAATCCTGTCTTACTAAAAAAAACTTAGCTGGGCGTGGTGGCAGGCACCTGTAATCCCAGCTACTTGGGTGGCTGAGGCACAAGAATCACTTGAACCAGGGAGACGGAGATTGCAGTGAGCAGAGATCGCACCACTGCACTCCAGCCTGGGCGACAAAGCAACACTCTGTCTCAAACAAAAAGAAAGTGGGGGAGGGTGGCAAGCAGAGGAAGGGAAGCCACATGTATTTGGAAGAGGTGAAGCACAGATGGGAAGGACGCAGTCTTTCCTGTTCTAAATT